AGCTTTGCTAATGCTATGTTGCCAATAATGAGTGTATTTCCTTTAAATTCCATAACGCTAGTCTATTGCCCCAAAAAACTATAGCAAACATCTAAAGACAGGTTTCAGAGGTTTAAAAAAAGGAACAGGGAAGGAGAGTGGAGACGGTATTCTCTCCTGTACTTCCTTTTATGTTATTTCTCTTTTTTACCTTCTTCAATAAAAGATAGGAAGGAAAGACAAGGAAGATCAGTGGGCTGTGCTGGATTTGCCTAGGATTTCCAAATTTGTATTTGTATTTCAACTCAAACCACAGACAACCCTACTGCACTCAGGCTAAAGACATCACATAGCATTTTTCAGTGGCCTACTGTTGCCACTGGAATACCACGCTAAACTGCAAAGCAGTCTTTGGATCCTTTCAGTTCCTATTCTAAATAATCTGTTTCCTGCCTTCTCACCACTCCCTCTACCCCATACCCTAGGTGCCCAGCACTCTCAAACTGACTTTTAGCCCAACATGGACCACCTCACTCACGTCTTCCTTCTGCCTCAGCAAAAACTCCAATTTCTAGGAGGTACCTATTCTTTTCCACATGTTCAGGTGATATGAATTCTCCCTAAGATATGAATCATTAATCGGCATAGCCGTCATCAGGGGTGGGAGGACGTTGTTAAAATGAATCACTAACCAGGGAGAAGAGATTTTGGTTTTTTGGCTGCATGTATAGGGAAAGAGATTTTTTAGCTGAATACTTTCTGCTCCTTTAGCATCAGGGAATGAAACAGCAAACGACAGAGAATTAGCACTGTGCAGTGGGTAACAAATCACAAATCTACCGTAGTAGAACCATCATCTAGCCACATCTGCCAAGGTCTTTGCCGAGTGGAACTACACTCTGCTACAAGCCTCCTGCACTGTCGCTTTGCCATTAACCTAGGCCGATGATTTACATTGCCAAAATGTAAATCCTGCTTTTTTATTTCAAATACAAACAACTCTTACTAAGTCCTTTTACATGGTAAGATACAAGATAGAATCTCCATCTTAATCTTATCCTTGCAGCTTCTTCAGCCCAAGAACTCCAACAAAAGCCTTATAAATAAAAGTCAATTAAGCTCATAATCCAGAGAAGGATAAAAGTAGAAAGCAAGGGGATAGCACTGTTCTCTTGAGAATAGCAATTCCCCTTTGGGAGATAATGCTGTTCTTCCTAAGGATCTGTGGGATTTCTGCTACAGTGTGTTTCATTAAGTTCTAAGTTTTATTAACTTCCAGGATAAAAGGACATACCCAGAGTCAAATGAATCCAGGCATTTAAAAATATCTCCTATATGGTTCCTAGCCTGCTCCCCCTTTTCCCACAAAAGAACTGCCACTGTAGCTCACTGTAAAGTAGTAAAGAAAAGAAAAGAAAAACCTGAATGACTTTACACAATTTGTGAGTTCACATGAAGGAAAGGAATGTACCACCAGAATGGAACAGATTCCTGGGACAGCTATTTGGTCCTCCCCTCAAATCTAAAAACACCTTTCTCTCACCCTCACTAAATGATTTTTGCTAAAATAAATTTAGTTACATTGCCAAAAATGTTACCAAAGGGGTACCTGGGTGGCTCAGTCGCTTAAGTGTCCGGCTCTGGATTTTGGCTCAGGTGCAGAGATCGAGCCCCATGTGGGGCTCCACACTCAGTGGGGAATCTGCTTGAGATTCCCTCTCCTTCTGCCCCTCCCCCCTTCTTTCTCTGGAATGAATAAATAAATCTTAAAAAAAATATATTACCAAAGACCTGAGTTAAAAAGTGCAGCTCTAAAAACTGCTGCTTAATCATCAGGGTGAATCACCTTACTTTTTTTCTCCTACTACCTAACTAAGAGAGTTATGCTCAGAGAATTCTGATTAGCAGGGAGGGAAGACAGGTAATTTGGGGGTGTGGAGCATTTGAGAGATATGAGAAGTGTGGGCAGGATGATATACTGGCAGGCGGAAGAGGGAAGGAAAAGAAGATTGGAACTAGCTTTTATTGGGAATTCACTCTGGGCCAGATCTACCAGGTCAGGTACTTAGACCTTACCACCTTATGTATTCTTTACAATTCTGCAATGCAAGTGTTATCATTCATAATTTACAAGAAAAAACAAACCCTTGTACTTAGATTAAATCATCTCTAAAAGGTCATATAGCTAGTAAAATTGCAGATCTCTGATCTGAACCAAAGACAACTTATTCACAAAACTCTAAAAGTGGAAAGTACCAAAACAAATAGGACTGCTCCTGCCTGACATCAGGGGGAAACTCTCTTCTGACTAATTTCTTACTTAGTCAAAGGGACCGAGAAGTCAGGCTGTACCAGCCCGTTATGTTATGAATCAAATAACTTTTTATAGTGTAGTTTGTGAATATAATCACAGTTTCAGAATTACAGATAAATATTTTCAAGTCCCAAATATTTTAGTCCCCAAATTTCAAAAATATCCCTATTCCTAGTTTGTAAACTGGTTTAATTTACCCAAACACAAGTGATTGGAGGTTCATGAGCTATATTAAATGATCTGTTTCACAGTTTTCATGTCCTTATTTACTCAGCCTGAATAAGCAACAGTTCAGCTAATAATCTTGTGTACTGCACTTATTACTGCCAGACACACAGAGTTTAATATTATCTGTTTCCATCCCTACTTCATTCATGGTCTAGAACAAGATACAATTTCATAAAAATAGCTAATAAAAATGTGACAAATGCTATTAGGCATGTATAAACTGTTAGAAGCAAACAAAAAGGAAATAAATGTAAGGAATGGTCCTACTACTATCCATCGTCCACAGACACACACTTCCAGGTCTAGAACTGGGTATACAGTATGCTGCCTTTTGCATAAGACAGGGTGGCAGGGAATGGGATATGAACATGTATGAGAAACACATAAGGTAAGGTGGTAAAGTATTGGTGACCCAATCACTTGCTTCTCTCTGCTGTTTTTATTTGAATGAACTCTCAGGGGAGAGGAGTCAAATGCTGTATCTAGTCCGTAATTGTGAACTTTATACTTTTAAGGAAAAAGGAATATTTGACTTTCTACAGAAACGTGCAGAAATAAATAAGAACATTCAGTTCTATTTTCTCTCACCTTTTCACAGTGCTTGCGGTCTATGAAGAAATGAAGTGACTAGATAAAGTATTTCTTTGATATCTAATAGAATTTCCATGATTATAGGTTCTCATTATATGTAGGACTTTCTATGTTCTGTTATTACATGTTTCTGAGAGGAGAATTCCACTATTTTCATTAGCGTTCCAAGGGGTCTATAATCTAAAAGGTTAAGAGCCGCAGGATAAAATGAAATGCACTCTTTCAAACAGTGGTAGAAGGTAAAAAACCCCATTCCATAATGTTGTGTTTGAATGTTAGATCTTAAATTGAAGGTGTTTAAATCACAAGAAATTAAAGTTTGAAAATAATCTTGAAGTTGTTTAAAAAGCCCAAGGCAATCAGGTAACAAATGACTGTGTAATATGTTGATAACCAGTGGGTGCACTGTGCAGTGGGTAACAAATCACAGACACACCTCAGGGCATTAGCTCTCTGATACAGCAGGCAGTGGACAGGGCTGAGGGGTGGGGGTGCCAGAGAATTTCCCAACCCGATGATCTGGATAGCGACTTGGGATATAGCCTTTCAGGTAAATGGAGTTTTACATAGAAGGCCCAGTGACTAAATTTTAGAAGACCTAGATGCTGAGTTAAGATGAAGCTAAAAAGTAACCAAGAAGGGGAAGAACTGACTGATATATTAGCCAAGCTCAGTGTCTCTACAAAATAAAACTGCAAGTTGTTAATTCTGGTTCTTTAAGACAGGTTGTGCTAAAGCTACCTAAATGTCAGCTTCTGGATTCTAAGCAAATGACATCTGGACATATGGCATTTCACATACTAGTTCAAATAATTGTTTTATACATATTTTTAAAATAAGTAAAAAAATCTAAAAACACAGTAACACAGAGAGAGTTGTATGGATAACCATGTATGATTTTAACCTCTCAAATATTTGTTCAAAATAGGAAAATAAAAATATGTGTACACTGTTAAAGAAAAAAACTTAATGACACTTGTCAACACATGGTAAAGAAGACTTTATTCAAGGGGGGAAGCTCCCAAGAAAGGTAGAGGACCACTGCAATAGAACTCTGCGTTGGGCAGAGGGGCGGAGGGGCGGGGAGAGATTGGGTTCAGCTGTGAATACTGTATGGGCAAGTGGGAATTTAGAGCCAAGGAGCAGTGTGGGAGTCAGTGAATGGAAAATTACTAAGAGGAAACATCAGGGGTGAGGGAGATTCTGGCAAAACTGACTTAAGAGAATTTTTGCTAGAGACAGGCCAGTGCGATGAGACATCACCTAGGGGATAACCCATCAGATACTGAGAGTGGTGGGGTTCTGTTAAACTGGCTTAGCAGGGTTCTTGCTAAAACAGAATTTTATAAGGAAGTACACAGATGGGCTTGGGAGAAGGCTCAGGAGACTGACTAAAATTTGGTCAAGCAAAGAATCTTTATCAGCATTTACAGAATTATGATGATACAATGGCAGCAACGAAGGTCAACCACACAGTATATGTGAAACATATTATAGTATTACTTAAGATCTGGGCTAAGCAGCTTTGGCTGGAATACCTGAAGTGTGAGAAAGAAGCTAAACTCATGCCTAGCCTAAACTCATGTGATTTTGCCTGGCTGAATAAACTGACAGTAAACTTTTTTCTGATAACATCTTCAGGAAATAGGGAACAACATTTAAAGATTAATGATTACCATATAATTTTATATGTGTAAACTGTTTATCGCTGACTAGGCTGAATGTATCCTGGACTCTATGTATCTGAATAAACTTGTTCATCTATTTTCATTTGCTTTATTCAAATAGGTTATCAACAGAAAGACTTCAGTCACTCAGAGGTTAGTTATAGTTCATTGTGGTTTTACTATGAAATTTTATAAATCAAAAGAAATTACCAATTACCTACCTAAGCGATGGAATCCAAAGGTGAATCTTTTGGTTGGTGATTTTGAAGATAGCCACAAAGCAAGCAGGGTCAGTATGATAGCGCTTAGGTCAGTTAACATATGAAGCGCATCTGTCATGATTGCTAGGCTGTTTGCAATGTATCCACCTTGGAGTAAGGATGAGAGGGAAGAAGGAATAAGTTAATTAAAATAATAAACATAAGCAAACCAAAAATATGTAACATCCTACAAAACATCAACTTTGAACTAAATCTTTATCCTATTACAATTAAATCAAGATATCCTGAAATTTTATGCAAAACATTAAATATGTGTGTATTTTTGTGGTGAAAATGTCCATTTCTATGAACAGATTCTCTGAGGAGTCAATGACCTTAAAAAAATTAAGAACTGGGGCGCCTGGGTGGCTCAGTTGGTTAAGCGTCTGCCTTCGGCTCAGGTCATGATCTCAGGGTCCTGGGATCCAGCCCTGCTGTCGGGCTCCCTGCTGCTTCCCCTGCTTGAGCTCATGCTCTCTCTCTCTCTCTCTCTCAAATAAATAAATAAAATCTTAAAAAAAAAAATTAAGAACTACTAAACTGGGCTCTAACACATAAGAAATTTTGTGTTTTAGTACTGCAGCTTTTACTCAACCTACTAATCCTACTATTAGTGAAATTAATAACCACAGTATCTAAATATTACAAGAAAGCTGAAGATAGATACTCACTTGTTTGAGAGGGTTTGACCACAAAATTAAACTGAAGAAATTTTTTTTTTTTTTAAAGATTTTATTTATTTATTTGAGAGAGAATGAGAGAGAGCACATGAGAGGGGGGAGGGTCAGAGGGAGAAGCAGACTCCCTGCCGAGCAGGGAGCCCGATGCGGGACTCGATCCAGGGACTCCAGGATCATGACCTGAGCCGAAGGCAGTCGCCTAACCAACTGAGCCACCCAGGCGCCCGAAATTTTTTTTTTTTAAAGATTTTATTTATTTATTTGAGACAGAGAGAATGAGAGACAGAGAGCATGAGAGGGAGGAGGGTCAGAGGGAGAAGCAGACTCCCTGCTGAGCAGGGAGCCCGATGCGGGACTCGATCCCGGGACTCCAGGATCATGACCTGAGCCAAAGGCAGTCGCTTAACCAACTGAGCCACCTAGGCGCCCTAAACTGAAGAAATTTTTTAAATGTACATTAGTTCAAAATGAAGGATAAAGATAACTGATTCCCTTGGGTATAGATAGCAGTGTCTCAGAGAGATCAAAGGTGGTATTTAGAATAAAATTTTTCCAGGCATTACATGTATATATGATATATAAAATTAATTTTGTATACGTGTATGTGTGTGTGTATATATATGTATGTTGTTCTATTACGGTTAACCAATTGTCTTAGCACCATTCATTGAATAAGCTTTTTATAATATACAATATTCAAACCTTTATGTGTATCAGAATCACCTGGAAGATTTGTTAAACTACAGATTGCTTGCTCCACTCCCAGAATTTCTAATTCCAGAGGGCTGGATGAGGCCTGAGAATTTCCATTTTTAACATGTTCCCAAGGTGATATTGATGCTTCTGGTCTTGGTATCTTTGAGAATCACTGTTACAATGAACTTCATGTTCAGGGTATTATGACATATAAGTGTGCGAAGCCGTTGTTCCCCTCTTTCTGGGATGAGTGTGCAGAGCCAAGAGCAGCAGGTCACTGAGCTGGTGATCTTGTAATCACATCCATTTACTCCAGTGTTCTCTATACAAATGCCACTTTTAATATTCCCTTGACATTAAAGAGCTGGAAATCACTGAGAAAAATACAAGTTGGTGGCTAAGAGGGTTTGGGACTCTCTGAGACTCCCTCAGCAAGTTACTTAATACTTTTGAGCCTCAGTTTCCTTATCTATAAAATAAGGGTAATACCTTAAAGCTGTACTGTCCAGTAAGTCTTGGAGATGATGGAAATGTTCTATCTGTGCTGTCCAGTAGAGTAGCTACTAGTCACATGTAGCTTTTGAGCATTTGAAATATGGATAATACAACTGAGGGATTTATTTTATTTAATTTTAGTTAACTAAAACTTAAAGAGCCATGTGTTGATAATCATCAGCAAAAAAATAGCAGAGTAAGGACCTCTGAAAATCATCTCCTCTATGAAAGTAATGAGAACATGGCAAAAATGGTCCAAATCAGCTTTTTTTTTTAGAACTCTGGAAATTAACCAAAGGCTGATACAGATAGTATTCATTCAAGGAAAACAACTGAATCTTTATAAGAACATCGAAAATTCTGTAGCCTTGGACCCATCTCCCTCTCTCCCGCTCTATGGTAGCCCTGAAAACCAACAGGCAACAATTGTGGTGAAAACCAGCCTGGCAGCCACTGCAAGGGATAAAATAGGGTCAGAGATACTTACAAGCCCCATTCCCAAAGAACTATCATTATTTGATTGCCTGGTAGTTCCCTGGGGAAAAGCACACTAGCAAGGCTGTTTTGACTTGACTTAGGATCTGTCTTAGGCAAACCCTGAAGAATGTTTGTCAAAAAACAATCCAAGGGAATTGTTTAATACTGCAGCTGCCTGAAGCAATAGATAACAATGTGCTCCCTGTATTCTGAAATTTCACAATCATATACCTTGGTATGGGTTTATTTTCACCCAATTTGCTGGGGTTTTGTTTACTCTTTTTATCTGGAAAGGTATACACTTCAGTTCTGGGGAAATTTCTTAAACTATATTGTTGACAATTTCTTTTCTTCTGTTTTCTCTATTCCCCAAATTCCTATTATTTGGAGTTTGGATTGATACACTAATTTTCTTATGTTTTTTCTCCTATTATCTATTTCTATCTTTTTGCTCTACTCTGAGAGATTACCTTAGTTCATCTTATAACTTTTTTATGGAGTTCAAAATTTTTTTGTTTTTATTATTCAAAAGCTCTTTACCTTGAATTTCTTTTTTAAAGCAGTCTATTCTTGTAGGTACATATCTCTTATTTCTGTGGATACTATGTAATTATTGTATCTGTTTAACTAGTTTCCTTATTTTAGTCTTCCTCTTGACCCACACTTCTAGGGGTACCAGGTGCAACCAATTCTGGGCCTACTTAGGATTCTGAAGAGCAGTAGTTCTCAGTATGGTCCCCAGTATCAGGATCCCCTGTGAACTTGTAAGAAATGCAAATTCTCAGGCCCTATCCCAGACCTACTTAATTAGAAGCTCTCACCCAGCAATTTGTGTTTTAATAAATTCTCTAGGTGTTTCTGATGAATTAGTGTAAACTGGGTTGATTCTTGGCTTTCCCCAACTGCTACTTAGGAGGTGGCTTTCTTGGGTCTATTAAGTCAGTTATTTCTTTTGGGTGCCTGGGTGGCTCAGTCGTTAAGCGTCTGCCTTCGGCTCAGGTCATGATCCCAGGGTCCTGGGATCAAGCCCCACATCGGGCTCCCTGCTCCGCAGGAAGCCTGCTTCTCCCTCTCCCATTCCCCCTGCTTGTGTTCCCTCTCTCGCGCGCACTCTCTCTCTGTCAAATAAATAAATAAAATCTTTAAAAAAAAAAAAAAAAAAGTCAGTTATTTCTTTTATCTATCTCCTTTCTAGTTTCCCAAAGTTATGTTGTTATTATCTTGTCTCCAGTTTTCCCCATCTATGTGGACACACACAGACCCACATGTGGATGGATATATGGCTATATACATATATATACATTTAAAAATCCCTTTATTTCATAAGTCAAACAGAGAAAGACATGTATCATATGATCTCACTGATATGAGGAATTCTTAATCGCAGGAAACAAACTGAGTGTTGTTGGAGTGGGGGGTAGGGTGGGAGGGATGGGGTGACTGGGTGATAGATACTGGGGAGGGTATGTGCTCTGGTAAGCGCTGTGAATTGTGCAAGACTGTTGAATCTCAGATCTGTACTTCTGAAACAAATAATGCAATATATGTTAAGAAAAAAAAAAAAGAAGAAGAGGAAGATAGCGGGAGGGGAAGAGTGAAGCAGGGGAAATCGGAGGGGTGGACAAACCATGAGAGACGATGGACTCTGAAAAACAAACTGAGGGTTCTAGAGGGGAGGGGGGTGGGAGGATGGGTTAGCCTGGTGGTGGGTATTGAGGAGGGCACATTCTGCATGGAGCACTGGGTGTTATGCACAAACAATGAATCATGGAACACTTCATCTAGAACTAATGATGTAATGTATGGGGATAAAAAAATAAATTAAAAAAAAATCCCTTTATTTCAGTTTGAGAGGCTTCAGGAGAAAGTACATTTAGATACATGAATTCATTTGCCATCTTTGAGTACTTTTGGGAAGTCTGTTTACATTCATTCTTCAAGCTTTTTCACTCCCAATAAAAATGCAGTTGTTAATCAATGACTATTACTAAATCCAAAGGATAGTTTAGTTCTCATCTCATTAGACCTCTCAGCAGCTTTAACTTATTTATTTCCACTTGGAAATACTCTATTTTCTTAGATTCTGAAATACCTGTTTGTCTTTTGCCTGACGTCTAAAGTTGGAGTTCCTCAAAACAGACTCTGTAGGTGGTTTTTTCCATTCTGATAGCACTACACACTCTATCTCTTGACTTGACCTCTCTTCTGAACTATAGACTCATATCTAACAGCTCACTAGACATCTTTACTGGCTATTTTACATACATGTGATAATGAACACTGTCTAAAACAACCCTTGAGCCCAGGCCTAAATCCTGCTCTGTATTTTCTCCCTGCCTAATAAAAGACATACAATTCCATACACTCAGTTGCTTAGGTGAGAAACTTCAGAATCAACCCCCACATCTAAACCATTAGTCAATTTTGTTAATGTTACCTCTAGAATATTTCTCAATCTCCATCCACACCAGTCCAAGCCATAATTGTTTCTTTTCTGGACCTCTGCAATAGTTTACTTCCATTCTTGCACCCTCCAATCTATCTCCACATAAGGGCCAAAATAATCTTTTAAAAACATAAATCCCATCATATTACTCTCCACTTAAAAGCCTTGACTGGCTTTTCATTGTACTTAGAATTAAAAACTACACTCATAATATGGTCTATCAGAACCGGCCTGATTGGTCCTCTGGCCTCTTTCTCTCTTGCTTATTATATTCCAGTGAAACTTGCCTTCTTTTTAGGTCCTTTTAAAGAATTGAAGGTTTTTAGGACTTTTGTACATGCTATTCTCTTCACTTGGAAAACTCCTCCACTCCTTTTGCTTGAATAACACTTTTTTTTTTTGGTTTAACTGTACCTGGCTCATACATAAACTATGTCCCACGGGGTTACTATGTCTTATAGTACCTTGTTCTTTTGCTTCATAACACTTAAGGCCATATGGATTTTAAATTTATTTATTTGTTTAACATCTGTGCCCTCCATTAGACTAAGTGCTTCAGATAGTAGGTTTTATTTACTTATTTTTTTTTTAAAGAGTTTATTTATTTGAGAGAGAGAATGAGACAGAGAGAGAGAGCATGAGAGCGGGGAGGGTCAGAGGGAGAAGCAGACTCCTCGCCGAGCAGGGAGCCCAATGCAGGACTCGATCCTGGCACCCCAGGATCATGACCTGAGCCGAAGGCAGTCGCTTAACCAACTGAGCCACCCAGGCGCCCCAGATAGTAGGTTTTGTAAAAGTACTCAAAAAATACTTGCTGAATGATCTAAAGTCTCAAAGCAAGTTAGTGGCAAAGCCAAGATTCAAAATCAAGTCTTCTCTTTCAGATCTTTAAATTACCTCATTTTTTAAATTACTCCATACTTTCTACATAAGATGCCTTATTTCTAAGTGCTTTTGATACACTTTAATAAATGCTCTACTATATACAATTTAATTCTATGTAATATTCTGAATATTTTTTTAAAAGATTTTATTTATTTATTCATAAGAGACAGAGAGAGAGAGAGGCAGAGGGAGAAGCAGGCTCCCCGCTGAGCAGGGAGCCCGATGAGGGACTTGATCCCAGGACCCTGGGATCATGACCTGAGCCGAAGGCAGACGCTTAACGACTGAGCCACCCAGGCGCCCCTGAATATTTGTTAATGCTTATCCTAAGTATTAGTATTTTTGTATTATTTAACATAAGATTTTTATCTTTGAAAATAAAGTCAGTATTTTAAGTAAAATACTTATTGTGGTTTTCACAAAACAACATTTACCAAATAAGAGATTTCAAAAATGGTATGTCAGGACAATTTTATCTTAATAATTTTTACTTAGGTAAAATAAACTCTAATTTTAAGGGGGAAAATTGTGATTAATATGATTTTAACTTCAAATACAAAATATTAACTTCAAGAATTACTAAGTCTGGAGCGCCTGCGTAGCTCAATTAGAGCTGCAAAGCGAAGCACAGGGCTTCCTGCTCAGTGGGGAGTCTTGCTTTTCTTCCTCTCCCTCTGCTCCCCGCCTGGTGTGTGTGCATGAGCACGCACTCTCTCAAATAAATAAATAAATCTTAAAAAAAAAAAAAGAATCACTAAGTCTTACTGACTTGATATTCTAGCTGTGTGAATTTGGGCAAGTCATTGAATCTTAGTGTGTAGAGGCCATGCCTTCTTACCTGGCCACAACTTCACTTTTACTTCCTTTACAGCTTAAGCATTTATAATTCTCTATCACAATAAAAATTAATTCAGCAGAAGTTTATTGAATGTCTATTCTGTACCAGTCATTGTTGTAGATGCTGGGAATGCAGCTTATATTTCAGTGGAAGAAGACAGATATTAAACAAGTGAATATACAAACAAGATAATCTCAAGATGCTGAGGGCTTTTAAAGTTGGGGAGAGAACAGGAGAGATGAGATATCTACTTTAGTCAGTCAGAAAAGGTCTCTCAGAGTTATCTTTTGGGGTAAGATACGAATGTCAAGAAACCAGCCAAGAGAAGATTGGGGAAAAGGCACTCCAGGTTAAGCAGTGTTTTTCAACTGCAGGCCCTGATCTGTGGAACACGAAATCAATTAAGTGGGCTGGGGCCATAATTGAAAAAACAAAATACTAGAACGCATCACAAGAAATGAGACTTTTGTTTCAGTTATACATATATTCACACATATATGTGTGTATGTGCACTTAACATACATATGTATGCATGCATGCCTACCCAGGTCACAATGTTAAGTGTAGTTTTTTCTATAGTGAGGTCAAGAAAGTTTGAAAGCCACTGAGGTAGAGGAACCAGCCAGTTTGAAGGCGTTATGGACAGGAAAGAGCTTTGTGCGTCATAGGGAGAAAAGGCCAGCATGGCTGAAGTGTGCACTGGGGAGGAGAGGTATAAAATGAGGTAGGAAATGTATATAATTTTCCTATATATAACCTCTAGCCAGCATCTTAATCTGGACTGCCACCTGTTCTCATAATGGTTAATCATTAAGAAACAATATGGCAGGGCGCCTGGGTGGCTCAGTCGGTTAAGCGACTGCCTTCGGCTCAGGTCATGATCCTGGAGTCCCGGGATCGAGTCCCGCATCGGGCTCCCTGCTCGGCAGGGAGTCTGCTTCTCCCTCTGACCCTCCTCCCTCTCATGCTCTCTCTATCTCATTCTCTCTGTCTCAAATAAATAAATAAAATCTTTAAAAAAAAAAAAACAACAATATGGCAGATTTATCTCCCTGCTTTAATGTCACTTTGTAAATTGTCACTAAGAGAAGTTAGCAGTTACACTAATGTGACTGTGAAATTAATCTCTAAGAATATATTTTTTAGTGAGAATGTATTACTTGAATTATCAAAAAGTGGTAAAACAGGACGCCTGGGTGGCTCAGTCCGTTAAACGTCTGCCTTCCGTTCGGGTCATGATCTCAGGGTCCTGGGATGAGTCCTGCATCGGGCTCCTTGCTCAGTGGGGAGCCTGCTTCTCTCTCTGTCTCTGCCCCTCCCCCTGCTTGTGTGCTCTCTCTGGCAAATAAATAAATAAATCTTAAAAAAAAATACTAAAAAATACTATAAAAAAACCAAGTTCATAAACCCCGGGGGGGCCCTCTGGTTCCTTTCAGATCCTTAGTATAATGAAAAACTTTAAAGGTCGTATTTAATTTTGCAAATCTCTTGGATATAAATACAAAAGGAAATACTAACAAAGAAGAGACCGCTTAAGTCAAATGTAGAGAAAAAAGTAAGGAGCCTGGGACTGTAGATGTGCCTCTTCCACTAACCAGCCAAGTGTCCTCACAACTTGTTTCACTCTCTGGGCCCTCAGGTTCCTTATGTGTGAAAAAGAAGAGCAGGTGTTCAGTAAGTCATTTCATACTGTAAAATTTCATGATTCTACGTTTAGATCACTTACTATTTTAAATGATGCAAAAACTAACCTGGTGTTTTATCAGAATTTTTTAAAGAGGAAGTTACATGATATACGATGAAGCTAATGTACTTAACTTTACAGTAGGTGTCACAGTGTCTGGAGAACGAGAAGAAAAAGGCAAAGTTATCTCTGAAAGTTTATGTCCTACTTGGGTTGATCTGCACTTTGGAACCGTGTGGACTTTTCCTATCACGAGATCAGTATCTTGATAAATAACAAACTTCCTGAAAAGAAAGTTTAAACCTCAAATCATGTGTAACTAAAGCCTGACAACAACCCTCGGGACAAGGTAAATGGAAAGTGAGTTGGCGACACAACTCACCTACAAGTTCTCCAATCATGAAAAGCAAGTAAAGAACGGCCGCAATGGTCAATCTGGTTTTCACCTTTCTCTGCTTCAGTAACTCTCGCTGTCTGCTGCAGTTGTCACAGGGGTCCACCTTCAAACTCAGCTGGCTGTTGGTCAAAGCTAAGTCCTGGTCCAGTAAGGAATCGTCGTCGGCCTGCAGGGCCGGGTGCGCCCCGTTAAGAGGCCTTTCTGGGATTTCAGAACCATCATCGGCCACCACAACTCGAAGTTTGTTAAACCGAGAAAGCCCCTCGTCCCCCACCTCGTCCGCGAAGTCAAAGGCGCTGGTGTCATTCAAAAACAGCGGCGCATCATCCTTCCTTAGCAGAGATTTGAGGCGCTTCCACGCGCCGGATCCGGCCATGGCAGAGGCTGAGCCGCCGCGGCACCGAAAGGCTCGGTGCAGGCGGCCGGCCGGCGGCTGCGCCGGCTCCTACTTCACCGGAGCGCCAGTTCCCGATGGCACCGCCGCGCGTCCCTCCCCATCCTGTGCAAAACGAAACACGTTAACACGTTATAAATCAAAGGCGCCCCGACACTGCCCACAAGTTCCGAAGCCCCGGCGGCGGGGGCGCCAGGCCGGCCCGGAGGCGCCCGGGCTCCGCGAGGGGGCGGCGAGTCTACCTGGGGCGCTGCCGCGGGGCCGCCGCTCATCTCCCCGCCCCCGGCCGGCTCGGCGGGGCCGACTCGCACAGCTCGGGCCGGGGCCGCGCGCGGAGCGGGGCCGTCCTCGCGCCTGCCGCGCCCGCAGCTCCAGGCCGGCTCCCCGGTCTGACAGGTTCGGGGCCCGGCGCCGGGGGCCGCCGCCTCTCCCCGCCCTGCGCGAGGCCGCGCGCGTGCGCCGGAGCGGCCGCAGGCCAGGCGCGCGAAGGAGGGGTCGGCACGAGCACACGCAGGCCCGCCGCGCAGGGCTGCGGCGCCCGGGAGGGGCGGGGCAGGGCGCGCGCCGCATCCCCCGCCCGTCGCCCCAGTGCCGGCTGCGGAGCCCCGCGCGCCTGTCTCTGCCCGAGGGGCACTCACAGGGATGCCGGCGTGTCCGGCGCAGCCCTGCCGCCTCCCCAGGCGGAGAGGCATGAGCGGATGGAGCCGGGGCCTGCGGACCAAGTGGGTAGATTCGAACGGTCCCGCCCGCCCCGCGCGTTGCTGCGCGAGCTCGCTCCACCCAACGAGGGCCTCAGGAATCTTGGGTCAGGATCTTGGTTGCAGATCCGCGGCAGAAAACCATTTTAGCGCCTTCTTGCTGAGTGAGAAACCCAGCAGCTTGCTGTCCTTGAGTTGATGCTTCTCTGGCAAGTTGGCGAAATTTGATGCACCGTCAGGTCAACTTCGAGAGGGCAAGGCTGCTGATGGTCGTCAGCAGTTCTAAGTCCTGCTTTGTATTTACTGTTGTCCTGTGTGTGTTCGCTGTAGCCTCCATTTATAACATGGACTAAACCCAAGCACAAAATCTAGTAGGGGTTTCCGTTTTGGCCTTTGGGTCTGTTACCCAAATTTAAAACAATTAAGTTCTGAATAGTAGTTTCTGATTTAGATCTAAGTTGTAATGGTAAAATGGAATGGCAATAAGCCTCCCCATTCCCCTTCTCCCTTGAAGTCTTGAGATTCCCTTGGATGGGTTTTAGGGGCTTCTGGAGGCCTTAAACTCATGTGCAAAATACTGTGGCTTATATGTATTTTCTTGAGTTAAGTCCCTTAGCTTTTATCATATTCTCAAAAGGGTTTAAGACTCAAATTTTAAGATTTAAAACAGCAACACTGTCAGGGGAGCTAACACTTGGGAGTTGAATTGTAGTAAAACTCCTAGTTATCCTGTGTTAATGGATGTTGTATTTTGACGATAGTCTACATGGGTTACCAAATTTCAAGTCACAAGATATACAAGAGAAAGTCACATGGAGCGTCATTTTCCTCCAAAGATTCAGATGGCACTTGAGAATTTTGCATGCCTCAGGTGCCAGAGCACCAACTGATTTTGGATTCCCCAGCAATCCCTCACTTTTGAATGTGCACCATATTCCTACAGAGCTGCCGCCATGGCAGTCAGGTTAGGAAACCTGGATCAGAGATCCCATGGTTCCCAAGACTGAGGAGGACAGACTTGCCTAGAGTATTCAATAACCAGAGCACTCAGGTCATTATCAGCTGAAGGGAGAGTGCTTACTGAGCCTTGCTCTCCTAACCCCAAATATCTTAATCCATTCAACTCAGGAGTAAATTATTTGTTGTTTTTCATTTCAGTTTGTTATATTGCCTGAAATTCTGCTAATGAGAAATACAAATGAACAAAGCAAATATGTCAGGAATGTGATTGCTCTTTCTTTGGTATAAATTCTTCAAATAAGATTCCATTCAAGGAAAGGGGATAGATGTTTTCAAGAAAAGTTGAGGCAGAACATGGATTATTTTGGGTACTTACGGTACGCTTTGTTGGGAAGGGCTGCAGTTCTGCATCCCAATTTATTTTTACTATTTTATATCGCTGGGTATCTGGACAGAGTGATAGGAGGATAACAAAAAACTATATAGTGATTTTAATGTATGTCCACAAATTCTGATACTCATCACAAGCAGAGGTAGAGCTTAATCTCCCTCCCATTGAATGTGAGCTTCTCTTAGTGAATACCATATGGCCTACAATGAATACAATATGACAATAGTGACAGTGTATGACTTAAAAGACTAGGTCATAAAAGGCACTGCAGCTGCCTGCTTGTTCTCTCTTGGATCACTTGTTGTGCTGCGGAAGCCAGAGTTACCATGTCACGAGGAACTCAAGCAGCCCCGAAGAAAAGCCCAGGTGATGAGAAATGGACACCTCCTGCCAACAGCCATGTGAATTAGCCATATTGGAAGCAGATGCCCCAGCCCCAGGTAAATCTTCAGATGATTGTAGCCCAGGAGATGTTGACTGAAATCCCAGGAGAGATCCTGAACAGAACCACCCAACTAAGCTGCTCCCAGATGACGCACAGAGACTGTGAGATAATAATGTTTATTGTTTTAATATGGTAAGTTTGGGGATAATTTGTTACAAAGCAATAGATAACTAATACACTCAATCTCAACTTGCCTCTGTACCAGGAAATAGTTTTTATTTTATCACATGGGCCCTTGTTCCTAGGCCTGTCCTTGGGCTAGTGGCATGATTTCTATCGTTGAACTTTAAAATGGTCCGAATAGGGGCACTGAGGTGGCTCAGTCATTACGTGTCTGCCTTCGGCTCAGGCCCTGATCCCAGGACCCTGGGATTGAGCCCCACATAGGGCTCCTGCCTGGCAGGAAGCCTGCTTCTCCCTCTCCCACTCCCCCTGCTTGTGTTACCTCTCTCGCTGTTTCCCTGTCAAATAAATAAATAAAATCTTTAAAAAATAAATAAATAAAATGGGCCGAATAGACTTCTGTGAATAGTCTTGGCATGTAACCACCATTTGCAACCGTATTTCTATGTATTCAGAATTTATAACAATAGACAAATGAACTTTTGAAACATAATCCATTTATAATCTGGTACTGCCTGCAATTCAGCTAGCTATTGCTCAGCATGCCATTCTTTTATAAGACTTCATACTTCTCCAGTATGAAGAACTTTTCTGCATAGGCAAATAGATAAAGTTGCTAACCATTTATCCCATCTCTTAACCAGGTAACTCATAATACACAAATTGTTTAATAGTAGATGTCTGACATTTACAAGACACGTATCTCTGGTGGTCAACTAGAATTGCCCCACAATATCCTACGTCAAAACCTGTCTTCTGGCACAGACATTTCTGGGAACAAATGACAATGCTGAAAATAATACCACAGCTAACATTTACTTGAGGCTTTTTTATGTGCCTAGCACCTCCGCAGGGGACCTGATTTATATCAGCTCACTTAATCCTTATAGCATCACTGAGGAAGTTAATTATTCAAAGCATGGGTCTTGAAGTCTGTGTGTGTGTGTGTGTCCTGGTTTCACCATTTAGTTCTATAATCTCTGGCAAACCATTTGACCAATTTGGGCTTCAATTTTCTTACCTATAAAAGGGGCTTGGGCGCCTGGGTGGCTCAGATGGTTAAGCGTCTGCCTTCGGCTCAGGTCATGATCCCAGGGTCCTGGGATCGAGTCCCACATCGGGCTCCCTGCTCCTTGGGAGCCTGCTTCTCCCTCTGCCTCTCTCTCTCTCTCTCTCTCTCTCTCTGTCTCTCATGAATAAATAAATAAAATCTTTAAAAAAAAAAAATAAAAGGGGCTTGATGAGAGTACCCACTTCCCAGGGCTATGGTAAGGATTCAATGAGATCATGTATGTAAAGCATGTAAAACTTAGCATATATAGCTCCTAGCACATAGTAAGTACTCCATCAATGCCAACTATTAATATTTTTTAAGTAGAGGGACACCTGGGTGGCTCAGTTGGGTTATGTCTGCCTTCAGCTCAGGTCATGATCCCAGGGAGCCTGCTTCTCCCTCTCCTCCCCACTCATGCTCTCAGCCATTAGCCTACATTATCCTCTCAGTCTGTTTCCACACACAAATGGAATGATCTACAGAAAAGTAGATTCCTTGAGTGTGCTAGAAGAAATTCCTATTCCATACGCCAAAGATTTGCCAGTACCTCATGAGACTTCAGCATCATGCTGTGAAATCCTTCTTGGAAAGGGGAAAAAGTGTTAAAGTTTTTAAAAATGGAAATGGGGGGGCACCTGGGTGGCTCAGTTGGTTAAGCATCTGCCTTCGGCTCAGGTCATGATCCCAGGGTCCCAGGATCAAGCTCTGCCTTGGGCTCCCCGTTCAGCGGGGAACCTGCTTTTCTCTCTGCCCCTCCTTCCTGCTCTGCTCTCTCTCACTATCTCTCTCTCTCTCAAATAAATAAAATCTTTAAAAATTTTTTTTAAAAATGGAAATATGGGAAAAGGTGCCACTTAATTGACAGGCTCAAATGTTGCATATTCCCCATCCTGAGAATTCCTTTCGTCATTGAAATAGGTGATTGTAGGATTCCCAAAGAATGTTTTTGGAATGTGACCCCCTTATCTTTTTCAGGAAGGGATGAAAGCTGTCAGATACATATGGACAAGGGTTGGTGATGTGATACACAACTAAAGAGTGTAATAATTTCTTCTTTTTATGGATTGCTCTGGTAACATAGAGGCTGGAAATTCAGTTTCACCTCTCTTCCAGGGGAGAAGAAGGACACAGGGTAGTTAAGAGAATTGCCCAAGGACAGGCAAGTTTCCTTCTTGGACAGGGAGGAGATGAAGGAGAGGGTCTCTGGGCCAAGTCCATGTATCCTGCCAGGCAAACCAACCTGTGAGCCAAAACCTACACTAAACAAGTTCATTGTTTTCACACCTTTGTTTTTATCTTCCCTTAGTTTTTAAAGTAAATGTACCGATGAATTTCTCTAACCATGTCTGGCTAAAATTAGAGGGAATAGGAGCTGGGAAGGGTTTAAAGTATAAGCACACCAGCCCTGCAGTCTGGAGGTGGCAGCTGGGCTCGGGGAGCTTGAAGGTGAGGGTGGAAGGGCGACTTTGGACATGCTTTGGGAATCCTTCATCACAGACAAGAGAAGCTCGTTCGGCTTCTAACTTTGCCATCCTTTCGCTATGACCCCTAGCAGCATACTGTTGCTGAACTCATTTTCTGTCTGTAAAGTGGAAAATAGTGTTTGTCCTACCTATTTCGTAGGAACACTGTAAGAATCCAATGAGATTTTGCATGTGAATACCTACTTTACAGCTTTACTAAAGACCACGCTGTCTGAACCAAAATGCAAAACATGGGTACAGACAAATGCTGATTGTTAAAAATCCTCCACTTGTATCTGTCCCTTCCCAGGAG